GAATATCACAAAAACAATTTACTTTTACGCATATATATATATATATAGTACATATGCGCAACAACACAAACATACGCAAAACAAGGTAGGGTGCATATACGTAGACATATGTATGTATAAAATATAATGATAAAGGAAACGATTTATTTAATTTATTGTATGGTAATTTTTATGCCTAAGGAATACTTAAAAAAAAAAAACATGAAAGAATTATACAACAATTACAGCAATAAATCTCAAAAAAATGTCTTCAAAAATCCTAATACAAAATGCATTTTGATTTTCAATGGAGTTGGCATTAACATTAGATAATAACGGAAGCTCTGTAAAACGTAGACTTATTTATTTCAGTTAAAAGTGTGCTTCATTTGACGGAAGAGAACAGTTGTTGTACTATACCTACAGCTACCTCTATATATACAGCACCGTCAACAAAAAAAAAATGCCAACAACGGCATTTTGTAGCCACTTAAACTTGCACTTTATTAAAAAAAATTCAACGGGCTACAAAATTCTAGCATAATCATTAGTCATATTTGAATTCGCCTTGGCAGAGAATTGTTACAGAAACGAGCTACTGGAATGTCCAGACTCTTAATGGTGATGATGGCTCTGCCCGGTGGGTTGATTTCCCCGGAAAGACCAAGGCTACTATCGTTCTCACGGAAAGGACCGCGAATCCATGTTGGATTTGTGGCGGAAAAGAGACCTCATTGCCAAGTATTCACTGTTATTATTGTTGCTGTTGCCTAGATCGGCTTGTCCATCCAACGTTGTCGTCAACTGCAGCTAACGGGAGACCCAGGAAGAGCGCAATTTCCACAGGGTCTGTCCATAGGGACAAGGGCGTTAGCCTGGGTGGGGTTTGGGGGTCATATGCAGATGTGCCGTGAGTCATGTGGTGACTCTCCGCATGCCGGGCACACGTTGGTCATAACTGCGTCCACTCTGATGAGGTACGAGTTTAGCCTGCTACAGTAGCCATAGCGAAGTTGGGCTTTTGTGGTGCGAATCTGCCGAGGAAGAAGAAAGCTCTGTCCCGTCCACGTCGGGTGGTTGTGTACCCAAAATTGCATTCACAGGTCGGGATTTGATGCAGGTTGAGACGGACTGCCTTTTAATGCCGTTTATGGCCTTTGCTCTGCTCTGCAGCAAACAGGTATCTGTTCGGGTGGCCGCGTCTGTGGCACCCTACTAGGAACTGCTTACAGAGCATTGCGTTAGGCTCTTTGATGGGTCTCTCATGTAGGTGGTGTTGTGGCGACATCAGAAGGCACCCAGTCGCGGTCCGGAGTGCCGCATGTCTGAAGCTGCGTCCACTGCGTCCTGCTAGACCCCGGCGTCCATACAAGCGCTGCATAGTTTAGAACCGGGCAGCCTATTGACTTGAGGACCTTGTTGCTGCGCTGTATTGCCAATTGAGGTTGATGCGCCGAGAAGGAAAGCAGACCGCCGAAGGTTGATTTTCGGTCGGGATCACCGTCGCAATTGGTTGGCCATCGACATGAATACCCAGCTGTAGTCTGACCTCCTTCGTCCAGGTACTCAATGTCGTTCACCGCGGTGGACATTTTTTATGATTTTAATTCTTCACGAAGTAAGCTTTTAAGCTTGCAGGGTGGAGGGTATGGGCATTAGAGAGGATAAAAATACGCGTAAATTAAATATCTGTTGTTTCAATACTAGAACACAAAACACGCTTTTATTTGCTTATCTGTAAACATACAATTTACCAATCAATTAAATGTACCTGGTAGGTAAAAAATAGTTAGTTGTTCACATTTACAGCGAAGAGGTAATAAATATTAAGCGTTGAATTAAGCCATTAATTTCCAATGAATTAACAAACACATAATAGGCAATGAAATTACTTTATAAAATTGTCTTTACGTTACTTAAGCCATTAAGAATGCCGCTACTTTTGTTGTTAATAAACTTAATAACAGCATTGTGACCACGAAACTGATTTCAATAGGTTTCCGCATGGATGAACCACCAACCAAATTATCCACAAAAGGTATTGCACTTGGAATTTCCAAGTCATCTTCATCAGAGTAGTCTTGTAGAGTCACATAAAAGACGGTGCGATTATTGAGCGGTTGCAAGCGTGGGAAACTTGTAGGCAATTGGGTGTTGTCAATCGAATACAGACGATGAAAACGTTCCACCTAGACCGGAAAAGTGTGAGAAAATGAGAAAAAGGGAAAATAACATTAGGGAGTCATATTTATTTATTGTATTTATTTCGTATTTGTATTTCGTTCGAATGGACACCGATGCTTCAGCTCTGAAAGTATTTAACTCGGAAGCCGCTGGTGGTAGCAGATGAAGGGGGACGCCCACACTGCGATGCAAAGACCTGGTGTAGAAGGACTTGGCTTCACTTGGCATTTCCAATAGGCGTCAGTTGGCACAGAAGAGAAACGACTGGCGTGCTATGTTGAACCCGGCCAAAATCGCTTAGGCGGTTACATCGCCAAATAAGAAAAAGTATATCTATCTTAGAAAATGGCGCCCTACTTCGGCCTTTCTCGCCGATCTTTCAAATTTCTTCACTATCAGGAACCGCGAAACCCATCGCTACACTCTTCACCACCTCGGCCAAGGAGATTAGAATAGCAAATTCTAGACGTTACTTTCGATAGCGTCTTATCCTTTTCAACGCATACCTTCGCCACTTTTAGCGATTTACCTGCCAGGAACAAAGTCCTCAAGTGGCTAGCCGGCAGCACCTCTGCGAACAATGTACCAAGTGAACGGCCGATCGGCGGCAAACTACGCAGCGCCAATGTGGTCGACAGAGACGAGCAACACGCTGTGAAGTAATCTACAAACATGTCAGAACGAAGTTCTACAACAGCCAGATTTGTAGCAGTGAAAGAGCACAACACCCAACTAGCGAAGCACCGAAGGTGGGGTGTCACCATGGGAACCATCGAGAAGTGGGACGGCTCCTGCACGAGTGAAGAACGGACATCGATCCGTACGGATCGACCATCCATTCGACGATATATAGCGGCACTCAACAATCACTATAAAGATGCTGCTTCTTAGCACAGGTAAGAATAACATCGTTCTAGGTGGCCAACCGACACTCATTATACATTTAGAACGCCGAACTGGCGAGGGAGACCAGATGCACCCTGGCACATCTACGTTACAGTTGAACTTATAGGCTTAACAGCTACCTCTCACGGTTGATCGCAGAATATCAGCGCAGCATGCGGGAAGGATCCATATAGCACCCAACACCTCTTCATATGCACCTCCAACCCGACGACTCTGACACCGGCCCATCGGCGCTGCTCGCTACCTCGGTACCCCCCTGATATTGTCTGTCATTTCAATAATTTTTGTAGAACGCAAAACTTAAACTCCCAATCACCATTCATTCATACTTACCTGTCTAACTGAGATGCGAGTTGGTTCCTCGAAATCAAGCCAAATCACCTCTTCACTGCAAGGTGGTGTGGTTAACGATCCTATGTAGGTATGATATTCCATTCCAATGTTTATGAAACACCAAAGGTCGATTTCATCGTAAAATTTGGTTTCGGTATGCGGTTTAGTGATGTGCGACAACTGCTCAGTGATCTCTTTATAAAATAAATTATCATTTTCTGTGATCTACAATAGAATAATGATATGACTATTTATTGACATTCTATCTTGTTTTGCTGTATAATTATTTTTAACCTCATAAGCATAGGCCAAAATTGCCAGACCCTTACTCTGCATCGCCGCTTCGTCCAATGTTTGATATTTCATATTTCTAAAAATCATATGCAACTCTGGCGGCAATAATACTTTATTTTTGTGATCCTCATCATCAACGCCATCCCTTTTGAACCAGTAAAACTGCAATTGCTCGAAAATGTATATACCATCAAGTGGCTCACCCATTATGGATGGATGTTTATCCGCGTATTCCAAACGTACCACCACAGTGTGTCCATTATTAAGTATTTTAATGCTTTTTGGAGCAACTTCGAAATACTCGAAAATGAGTCGTCGATAATTACGTTCAACTATATTGACTGAATCGAGATTGAGTGGGTTGGTATGCTTGCCACCGCACATACCCCCTTGCTTGGGTTCTAGTTCGGATAAAGGGATTTTATTTATTCAGCAAAATATCTTGAAATGTATGTATGTATATTAGGGCGGGCCAATTTTCTTCCACAATGCGCGTATAGCATAGGAGGATTCTACGTGTAATTCTAAGCAAATTTGCCGAAGAAGTCCTGAGTCTAAAATCAATTTGGAGTTTGCGAAAATAAGTTTCGCGAAAAATGTGAAAATGTTCACTGTAGCGCCCCCTGGTGGAAGTTTTAAGAAAAATATAAGTGCAGAAATGGATTCCTCATACAAAAAAAACTCCCTTATAGCATGTTTTTTTTTTACAAAATTTAAGCACTTCTTTACGACACTACAGCAAAATGCTTAGAACCTATTTTCACATTTTGGCAAACTCCGAATTGATTTTAGATCCATGGTTTCTTCAGCAAATTTGCTTAGAATTACACATAAAACTCTGCAGTGCTATACGCTCATAACATACAAATTGGCCTGCCCTAATGTACATATATAGTATGCATAGTAGGGTGTCCCAAACTTTGTCTTTTTCGAGATCCGAAACCTTTTGTTTTTACCTAAATGAAATATATGTATGTATATGCACATATATAAAGTTTTATAGCTGTAGGATAACGAAAGCCAAGCCTCCACTGGACCACAGCCACTCAATAAGTCCGGCGCGCGTCGTACCGTCCACCTTCTGTTTAACTTTTACATCTGGAAACTTTCTCGCCCACCAGAAGTAGTTTCGCTAATCTCTTGCATAAAAGATGCTACTGCATGTCATTACTTATCTCCGTTCGAAAGTAAACGTCTACTTCTCTGACCGTTCGCGCAATCGTAAACATAGTAAAGAGCCTCAACAAGGCCCTTGAATAGTTGAGCTCTGAATACTGCAACTAATCACTTACCTTTGCATTCAGGTTCTGCCCTAAAATACTCAATATCCATGTGCCCGGTTTTTAAAGACACTAACCACCTACTTACTTGCTTCCATTAAACCTACCACTCCTCTCCATTTGGTGCGATAGCGGTAGACAGCACGTTTTCAATACCACACCGGTTAGTTTAAGTGGACGAGAACGGTTAATAGACTAGCCGATTTAAGCATGGTTTAGTAGTGAGACTAGAACAACAACAACAGCAAACGTACCGCGCATCACAGACAATAGTAATGAAGAAGGCAGACCCCGCAGACCCCGCAGGCCCCAATGAAATCAAAGCAAACGAAAGCGACGGGTTATCGTCATCCTACAGCAATAAAATTTTATGTATCGCTAGCTTAGAGTGAAAATTTGGTAAGTTGAATTTTTCAAATTTTACAGGAGAGGAAAAAAACCATTTTCTACAAATATTTTGCAAAACTTTATATACAACATTTTGCATGTTTAAATCAAAGCAAAACGCCATACACATCAGAGGGATTCAATGTTAACTAAAATTTTTGGAATTATTTCGGCCTTATCGACCTTTCTATACCTCTTTTGGATTTAGCAAATTTTCCTTTTTCTGAATATAATAGGGAATAAATAAAACAAGTACCTAAATCCTTTTGCAAAGCGTGCATTTTTATTTTTTCTTACTAACACAAAATGTTGACTTAGAAAAATTTCAGCAAATTTTCAGAAAAAAACTCACTTCTTACATACTGGGACACCCTAATGTACATAAGTATTTGTGCACAGTGTAGCAAAAGCTTACTCACCCATATCATTATTGTAGGTTAAATCATTCGCAAACGTCATCTGAAAAACTAACGAAGAATAATTAAATCTATGTAACTAAGTTGCAATTGTTGTAGAAGCGCTAATAATTTTCTCATAAATGTACCATTTAGTGAGTGATATGTGCACATAATTTTATTAAATAAAAAAAAAAAAAAACAAAAATAGCTTCGTCTTACTGTGTTCAATTTTTGAATAATTTATTAACAAATAAACTACATACATATGTATACAAGGCGAGTTAATATAAGGTGGTGTTACTATGTAGATCAGCTGATTTTGTGCATGTGTTTCGCCTCGCGGCTTCTTATGTCAAATTGAAATATTTTGTTTGCATTTCCACACACACTTTTACAGATTTTGACAGTTCACGCCGCAAAAGCAAATTCAAAATATAAGTAAATTTTTGTTTTTGTACTCCTACTATCACCTTATATCAGTGATGAAATTGATGGTACAATTGTACTTTTTTGGTACATTTTGGAAGCCAAAAGTACATTGGTACTACATTGACATTTTTGATACATTTTTGTCGGTAAATTTGGTATGTAAAAGCATTTTTGTATTCTCAACACAAAATCATCCAACAGCAAAAATTCTGAGCAGTTGGCAAAATTTGCAAAAACTTGCAGTCTTCGAAGCAGCTGATAACTTTCACAGTTGCAATAGGTGGTTCATTTGGTAATTTATTATCCGCTTGGTGCATTGTCCCCAATTTGGAATTTTTTTACTATTGAATACTTTTGTAAAGGAAAAATGTTTTTAACATATAAATGAATTATCTCGGATTGAATAAGTTTTTTTCTAACAAATATTTTTGATACTACATTATGACGCGTTCAAAAATAAAAGAATCTCCTCCAAGCACCCTTCCTTGTTTCACAAAAATTAAGTAGATATAGCTACTAATGTGCCTTTAAAGTTATCCCATTTTCGTTTTAACGATCAACTGACAAATTCGGTCAGAACCTTTCAGCGTTATTATCTATTTTGGTATTTTTCTGGTAAAAATATGGTACAGTTGAGTCGACCAGGCAAAGCCAAGATTGTAAGTTATGTTTTGTTGTACGTTGTGTAAATAATTATTTGTATATGTATTCATATTGTGTTTTTGTTGTCCTGAAGATGCCTTTAGATTAAAGGCGAAATATCGACAGTAATAAACAAAAAGGAAGATAAGACATTCAATCGTTTTATTTACCCTAGGCCTAGAGCTCAAAAAAAGCAATCAAAACAGTTGAAAAATTGTATACGCACGGTAATTCGAAAATGAGAGATTAATAGTAAATTAACTAAACTAAACTTTTCTTCCTTTCTTTTGTTTATTCACGAACACAAGTGTGTGGTCAGCAGACTTTTTTACTTGTAAGTTTTCGCAGGTAAAATTTTTTCCAGCAGAAAGTGGCAGATTCCAGTGTCATTTTGCGCTCTCGATTTCCCCCACTTTGCAAGATTTTAGGTACGAGAGCACACTGCTATTAACTTAATTATTTGTATAAAAGGAAATATTTTTGTGAAACTTCCATTCCGTTGAATACATGGTTTTTTTTTGAAAATGTTTGATACTCTAGCACTTAGATAATAGGTATAACTTGTATGCTTTTGTTGATTACCTTGGCGTTTTGGTGGCCTCTTCAAACAATTGATTTGCACTTGTTTTCCAACTTCGATACGCCATGTTTTATATCATGGTTTTTATACAGAAAATCTAAAAACATATGTATATGGAACATAACTATGTATGTATGGTCTTTTAAATGTTGGTACTTTCTCGGCTTATTTAGTACACTTTTCTTGGCCATTTGGTACAAAATTAAAAAACTCATTTATCATCCCTGCCTTATATTAATTCGCCTTGTATGTATATTTACCCCAACGTTCGTTCTACCTTGCATACTTCACAAAAATATTCTAAAAAAGTAGAACATGTATGTAGTTCTGTTTAAGTTTATGTACGTAGAAAATTAGAGTGTTATAATGTCACGCTGTTTATAGATATTTGTATGCATATGTAGACGTATGAATAAAAATTGAGATGCTCATATTTACATAAAAAAATTTTGCGACAAAAGCTAATAACAAGGTCAATGACTCACAACGACTCTCAATTTTTGCATGATGAAGTTATAACACGGATTAGTCAATAATCAATCAATCTTTAAAATGAATGATCGAATACAATTGAATTCTCAGTGTACTTTATCAAACCCACAGGAAGGGCGACTCTGCTGTTTGCACCATTTACATTGCTATAAAAGGCTCTATCGACAATGCTGTGCGATCGTCTGCAGCCTTTCATAAAGCAACTGATTTCATTTTAACAGAGTGGCTTCAAACCTGACAGGCAAAGCGTTAAGTCTGAAAGGGACCCTAGAGCAGCCGTGCCCAGCGCTGGTAAAGGTCCATAAGCAAGTGCAAAACTTGCACAGTAAGGCAAAATTAATAAAAAAAAACATTTTTAAGGTTTGGAAGAGTTGCAGACAAAAATTTCATAACCAGAATTTTTAATAGACACCCAGTATTTTGGCTTAGACTTTGTTGTTAGCAATTGTAGGTACCATAGGGGTTGTTTCTTAGGCGAAGTGCTGTATTAAAAAAACTTTAAAAATTCTAATTAAATTAGATATTAATTAAATTAAAATTATTTTCTTAAGCTTAAAAGGTCTGCATAAAAATGTTTACAAATTGTATTATTTATTTAAATATTTGCCCGAAATATTTTAGCGAAAGGCTTACAATTTAATACATTTTATAATTCCGGTGGAAAAACTGCAGGAGCTTTCCATCGTTGGTACAGAAAAAATCGTTT